AACCCAAGTTTTCGGAAAAATTCACACGAGGCACGAGCGGTCTATTGCGGCCAATCTCCTTAATAAATGACACCGAATCCTTTTCTGTTTACCGATTACAACCGCGAGTAATGAATGAATAATGAAAACGCGAATAAGGAAACCGTGAATAAGGAACTTTTACTGTTGCTTCAAATAGTTTAACTCATAATAAATCTACCGGAAGTAATAATTTTTCGTTGTCTTGCGTATTTGATCTTGGTCTTGTCTATTCGGTCTTTGTTTTAGTCTTGGTCTTGTTCGTTCGATCTTGGTTTTCTCGAATTTTTGCAAGATTGAGACGAAGACCAATTTTGCTCATTACTTCAGTTTAAGCAGTTCTGTGCGAAAAACAGATACACACATAGATGAATAAACGAATTCATCGCGAATTGGGGAGGCAATTATCAAATCAATTCGGAAAACCATTGTTTTATAAGTAAACACAAATGCCGTTGATTAGAGCCGATAAGTGAAAGTCAAACAGCACAGATGACCGTCCATTTAACATGAGCATCGAGCAAGGCATCCGAATATGGACATATGTATGAACATAGATACCTACATGCGAATGGATACATATATATATCAATGCTGATAATTACGCGGAGGTCTGCATGGAGCTCAGTAATCAATGCTAATTAGATTCATGACCCTTGCCTTATATGCATATCGGTTTAATAGAGCCAGTTTGTCTGATTGAGAGTAAATATGATCGGGCAACTATGTACAACTTCATCAGCTCACGCAACACATATTGTGTTATGATGATAAACTTGCTGTAGTAGGTCGTTTTTACTTGTAATAATTATCAACTAAATGAAAATGGCTCGTCTAATGAAACAAATGATAACAATTAGTAAGCCAGATGAAATTATCAAACACAGTTAGGATAAATTTGGAAAATTAGAAAAAAGTAAGCGGGTCTAAATATTATTATTTAATACATCGCATGTTTAATGGTATATAAAATATCAAATAGTTTGTTCTTTTTCATTTGCCAAAATCACTTTATGTAATTTGTTTAATTACTTTCACTGTCAATTTCAATTGATCTTCACTCGACTGCAAACACGATCAAACTGACGAAAAGTCACTGAATTTCGGTTTATATACCATAATACATCGAAATTTCTAGTGCCAGAATATTCAAGATTATTCTTAACAATGACAGCTTGTCCTTTATTTTTTAATGTTTTCGATCGTTCTAGAATGTTGCAGAACACAAAATTATTCCCGATAATGACAGACCACCCTGTACCTTTATAAAATTTCTTAATAATAGTAGATCGTTCTATAATATTCTAGAATAATTGGACAAAATCTAGAAAATTGTAGAAATCCTTGATAATTAATTGCGGACATTTGGAACTTTCCAGATCATTCCAGATATTTCTAAAACTTTCTGGAACATTCCATATCGATTTTAACAGTTGCACACAATTTGGAACTTTCTAGATCATTCCAGAAATTTTAAGGACATTCCGAAAAGTCTCATAAGTTAGAAAAGGACAGGGGAGGCGGAAACACTGCTCCTACCTACGCTCACGCCAGTTCTAATCCCGCGCTGAACTTTAACCGTGTGCTAACCCATTCTCTACTACGTTGTTAACTTCCTAATTAACTCTTTAGTTTCAACACCCTAAATAAGCTATAACTTCAAGAATATTTCTGAGAAAACATTAAAAAGGTGAAGTAAAAAGTTAATTCTCTATTTATTTAAAGACAGCAGTTTGTTTGCAAATATTCCAATTATATATTTACTTTCAATTAAAAACCTTTTAAGTAACATTTATTGTAATAATTTTAAAAACAAATATGTGGGATCATTTAAATTTAGTTAGGAGGAAATTACTATTGGAATACTAAAGTATTCAATGAAAAAATAATAAGCCATGAGTTCTATTAACAATCGTTTACAAACAAACCTAATGATAGCATTCTTTCTGAATTCATTCATTATCATAACATTAAAAACTGAGAAAAACAATAAAATAATCTTCTTAGAATTAAAAGTAAACCGACATTGGAAGTGGGATGAACTTATATTTATTAAAACCAATGTATGAGTGATCAATATTAGATAAAATACGATAACTCTGATAACAATTAGGGAGGAAGTATAACAGAGTATATGACCATGTGTAACAATAGATATTGTAAAAAATAAACAATAATTAATTTACTAAATATAGTCTTATCGAATAAATAACTCATTCAATAAACAAAGCATTGGTTTTAAACTATTATTTCGATATATTTTATTTATTCGTAAAAGCAGTTCACTTAATTGTTTTCAATGTTGAAATTTTGATTTAGCGTTTTTAAGTCTCTGCTATCCACAACCGGCCTCAAATCTAGTCGATTCATTAGCGAAATACATAATCTTAATGTAGACCAAATAGTATCAGACATTTGTGAATTATGTGAAGAAATCTCTCCATTGTGATTTCTTCCTCTGGATTGTTGATTTAACGCTATTAAAAGATGTTCAGCCGCTTCCCTGTAAAACGAATCTCGTGTTAGTTTTTCGTTGTTCTTTCTTGATTCCAAATTATTTTAATTAAATTTAGTTATTGAATAAAATTGAATCAGAGTGATTAAAACTTCTCATGATATCTAATCTAATCTTTTTCCCAATTTCCACCACTTTTAATTTCTTATGTTTAGAGAAACACGGTCGTTCTGGACCATATATGTTTATGCATTGTTACCTTGCACCCTTAAGTTTGAATATTTGGACGCAAGCAATTACAGTGTGCTGTAAACTGTACATATATTAAAAATTCGGAGGCTGTTGCATTATTTTTCATTAATTAGTAATTTTCTAAATATAGGTAAATGTAAAATGATTCGTGAATTTGTTTTTATAGTTTTACCAAAATAGTTGTCCTATGTTCATCAAAGCCGTTTACATAGTAGTTTTACTATATGAGATAAAATATTTCTCTACCATTAAAGTTAGTTGCTTGAAATTATTATTGGAATAAAATCCTGGTCTTCTAATATTATAATTTTAGAATTACGTAAGACGTTAAAACAATAGTCGTATAAAATTGTAGTCATTACGGTTTATAATATCAGAATTGCAACTTACTGATATGCTTTAAGATTGATACATGTAATTCCCACATTGTATCTTGCTCTGATAAATCCAGGAGATATAGTTAACGCGCGATGGTATGCTTCCACTGCTTCTTCCGGGCGATTGCCGTTGGCTAAGGTAGCACCTAATCGATTCCAAAGTCTAGCATCCTATAAAATAAAAGCAAAAAACTATTTAAAAAATAAAAACAGTTTATTTTTTAATGAGAAACATTTGATGGGTGATCGCGAGTTAGGGCTAGTTAGAATTAAAGTAGAAAATAAACTTGTTAGAACAGCTAACAAAAGTGTAGAAAAATTTCAAGTCCGGCTCCGCCTTTAGTAAATGTTACGTAACAGTAGTCCCTTCAATAGGTCATAATGTGTAATAATATTGTAATAATTTCAAACACATGTTTCACACTAACTATGTAGTCCATATAGTTGTGGTAACGAATGCTAACAAATGTAATTGGGGATGGGTAACTTTTTATTTTTCCGACTAAGGGGTCGATGCGACGATCGCAAATATCGGCAATAATACTAACGTTTTAAGGATTTACACCAATAAAAAAATGACGTTATATCATCAAAGCTTTGCGACCATTATCAATCTATCATGCTTAACTGTTAAGTTATCAAAATTAAAAGAAATTTATAAATAGCAAGAACAGTATTGCTTCTATTTTAAATTATCACTACAAGAAATCGCAACTGACCTTACATATTGCCAACATATGATTGGTTCCAGTGAAAAACTAAAAATTTAAGGTCAGATACAATTTCTTATACATAATATATTAAAGGTCGCACAGCTTTGGTGACGGAAACGTCTCTCAATTTTTAATTTTTCAATTATTAATTTTATATGTAACATTCAATAAAAAAAATCTTTTTGAAAGGAATGATACCTCCAAATTCTTCAGTTATTACACATACTCTGAAATATTATTATTCGTGCTTACATCAGGTCGTGTGCTCAAAGCAACACGAAAGCAGTCAACAGCTTTACTGTATTCTCCTGAAAGGTTGAAAAGTATTCCTAGACCGCATTGAACTTCGTAATCTGGATTTACAGGTTGCCGTTGTGCAGCTTTTATAAACAACTGTTGCACATAGCGATGGTGCATGCTAAAAATGGTTTTGGGTCAAAGTTACATTATAGCTATAAAATACAAACATTACCAAATTCAATTAAATGACAGTTAGTTGCAAGATGAGGTAAATGTTACTATGACAAACACGCACATTTACACTGATAAACCCATATAAAAAATACATGAAAAATTACACCAAGTCTGGAAATTATTATTAAGGCTTGTTGTATTCCAATTATTTAAATTAAAAATTTTTCGTTGTATCCTGAAATTTCTGTACAATACCAAAGAAGCATGGTAACATAAATCCAAACAAAATCATTCAACTCCTCGTTCACACTTACGGATCGAGTAAACTTGTAACTTGCCCAGAAATTTGTAAATCAGAAGGTACTAAATCCGAATAATTAGGATTATTTTGTAACCATGCAATCAGTTCTCGACAAGCTTGGTTGTGGTAGTTTTCATTAGCATAACTAACAGAAAGGGACATGTGAGCCATCAGATTGTCTGGTTGAAGTTGTATACAACGTTTCAATGCACTTATTGCATAAGAATCCTGTAATAAAAATGGGCAAACAAACAATTATAAACAATTTGCATTTAACTTATTATAAATCATAACACATTCAAAGAACACATCACAAAAAAAATTAAAAATCTTGTTAGTAATATTAAAGATAAGGTTACTCAAGGTTTATTAAGTCATACGAATGCACATAAAACTTAGTTTAAATATTACATTACTATTTCTATTCCACGAATAAACAGTAAGTAAGACATAAAATCTAAAATATTGTCAATGCAAACAATCAGCATTGACAATTTCAAACTCCACCTGCTCATTTTCAGCTTGTGTAGTGCCAAGATATAACCACGCGTCGGCATTGTCAGGATTTTTTTGAACAGCTGCTTCAAAACAAAGCACTGCACTTGGAAAATCTCCAATAGCGAGCATTTTCTTCCCAGTTTCAAAAGGATTAGATTCCTTCAACATTGGATTATCTTCAGCAAATTCATACTCCTACAATAATAGTGTTATTTTAAAATGAAACAAATAATTGAAGAAATAACAGTAATAAAAGATAAAATCAAAGAAAAGTACTGCAAACTCATAAAACCTAAGGGAACATTGCCCATTGTAAGTAGAGGAATCTAAAATAGCAAGAAGTGAAAAATGAAACTGATACGACATTTTTCGATCAGCGGTTCAGTTAAATGGCAATTCAACAATTAATTTTCAGATTAAATATTTCTCCAGTGCCCAATATAATATATTTATAATCTAAAATATAATGATCTTTGTAATTAACGATAAAGGCTTTTTAATAAATAGAATAAATGTATAATTAAATAGTCAAATCCTTTTTAGAATAAAAATTTGAATTCAAAAATTGTTGTACTTCAAAACAGCAAAACATAGTCATGCTTTGAAACGCTTTCGAATCATTGACTCACAAGCTGACTACAACAAAGTAAACGACGACTGTCTTTTAATGCACCGATTTTATTATTAAACATTGCGGTTGTTTTTAGTTATTTTTATTAAAAAAATTACACATTTTATTATTTCTTTAGGAAAAGACATAAGTACCCAGTACCAATAATGAAAGCGCATTTTTTTAACACAAAAATAAGTAAAAACAGCCGCAATGTTTAATAACAATAAAACGCTGCATTAAAAGACGGTCGCCGTTTACATTGTTCTAGAGTCGGCTTGTGAGTCAGTGATTCGAAACACGACTTCGTTTTGCTGTTTCGAAACACAACGTTGCTACTTTTTCGACACAACGACACATCGATCTCCTTAAATGCCGCATCGGACCACGAGCATTAAACCGAATTCCTGCGAGTCGAAACAGCTCACCTCGCAAGCAAAGTTTCGGATGCGGACGTGCTTTTGTAGTAATAAAGACTATTATTCAAAATCAAGAGTTACCAAATCCATACGACGTTGGGTCGTTCGAGAGTCGAAACAAACAAGTTTCAAGTATACATTCACGCGAGAGCTGAATCGGCTGACGAAAAAAAAATGTTTAAATGTTTCGAATCACTGCTTCAAAACATCGAATGATTCGATTCGAATTAGTGATGGGCGTACTCGAGTCCAAGAATCTAAACATACTCGATTTCTAAAAGTATTTGCTGTACTTAAATACTGAGATATCAGTACTCCAGAACCGAATTCGTCTGTATGGTAGTAGATAGCACGTCTGTAGGAATCGGACAGAATCGGGTTTCAACTTACGGCGGAACTAGACTTTTATTATTATTGAATCCTCTCTCTCTCTCTCGGAGTATCGCTTCGATAGCCGAATTGTTTATTAATGAAATAAAGTAATCTTTTCTACATCTCTTTTTCATACTGTTTTTATTAAAAGCAACACTGTTTTAAAGTGAAACTTTTATTACATCGCCTCAATTTTTTTCGTCCATCTATCGCATGTCGCATTCCAGCCGGCCGCAAGAGTTAAGCGTGAAGCATTTATATTCTCACTCATTCGTGCAAGTGCATAACAATTACATTCATAGACTGTGAAACTCAAAGCGATGATGAAATTATTGATAGAATAACTGAAGTTCAAAATGATTCAATGATTTAAATAAATATTGTCCTTAGTTTTTAACATGCGTCTATTATTTATGATTGTATTTATTATGTATTCCGTACTCATACGCAGATAAAAAAGATTTATGAATAAAAAGTTTGTAGGTGATATTTGCTGTTTTTGAACGTTCCCATCCGGATATTTGGTACTTAATATCAAGTGCATAATAAGTAATAACTAAGTAGACACACTTTAACAATAATATTTCTTTTGAGTGCTCCATAAGAACGTTCCCAGATACTTCCCAAGATTTTTTTCTAATATTACTTGTGTAAAATTCAAATTATTAGTTAATTACAATAATAATAAACTAGCTATCAAAACTTTTGCCAAATTCATTTTCCATAAAAAACTTGCAATTAAAAAAGTCAACGATAAAATAAAACACGCTTTCACTTATTTGATTTAAATTTGGTGACTGCTAGTACATTCTAAACCTAACGAGCAACGGATACTTTGTATCTGATAATTGCAATATTGACATCACTATGTTTAATTATAATTACGAAAAATTTTTGAAATTAAATTTCCACTGTTGCCGGTACACTTCATTAAATTACTTTATAAATTCAGCTGCATTCATTAGTATTCAGAGAGGGAGAAATTTCTCTTACTAATTGTAGTACTAAAAATGTACATACCTTGTAGGGGTCAGTTAGTTCATCTATATCGTCCAACCACGGATGATTATCTCCAACTTCTTCAGCTAGTTTCTTCCATTCGTTTTGCAATTTATCCCAAAATGTATTGTAGTAATCATCCCCTTAAAAAAATAATAATTNGAATGTTGATCGTGGTTGAGTGCCATAACCACTACAAAAATCAATTTATTCACTGTGTGAGATGTCTTTGAATGCTCATAGATATGTCTTACCTGTGATCTTAACTTGTCCTACCGTTACCATTTTTAATTCGTTAACTATGAATGCGTTATATAGATAAAGTTTCACGAAAAATGTTTTAATCGTATTTATATTTCAAAATTTCTATGATGTACTAGTTGTGAAATGATTAAATGCTATTTTTTATTTGTATTTATATTTGGCGGTCCGTAAAGGTGTCATCCCAAATCTCTAATTGAGGATGACACCATGGGTATCGAAACGCGTTTTAGTTTTCGAAACTTAAGGAATTTCAGGTTATTAAATGTTTATTTTCTCTTAATTATGAATAACAGAGTTTTTAAATTGATTTTATATACTTCAACTGTTCTAACTTTAAATTTTCTTAACCTCTTTTAGATTTTATAGCCTACTTATGTACATCATAACTAGTATTATAAATACGAATCTGAGTTTGTTCGTTTGTCATCTTCTCACGCCTTGACTATTCAACCGATCATAATGAAATTTTGTACACACATTTTCAGGGATACAAAAAAGCATATAGAGTACTTTTATCAAAAAAATACTATTCCCGAGGGATAGAAATAAAAACAGTTTTATATGGAAGATTTCACGCCTTAATTACTCTTAATCAATCATGAAATTTGTACACATTGTCAAGGGTACAAAAAAGGTCAGAGGACAACTTATATCCAGAAAAAAATACTGTTCCAGGGGGATAGAAAAATTAATTTTATGTGGCCGATATAAGAGCAAAAGTACGTACATAGGATTTGTTGATTTTAAGAAAAAACTTTTGACAATGTTAAATAGGACCTGATGTTAAATATACTTAAAAATGTAGGGATGAGTTACAAAGATAGAAGAATGACACTTTGTATAAAGAGCAACAGACAATTATAAAGCTGGGACTGCAACGTAGATTAGTAAACATTAAGAAGGGAGTCAGACAGGGATGCACAGTTACCGCTACTTTTTAATCTATACATCGAAGACGCGATCAACATCATTAAAGACAGTACAATTGTAGGGATAGATATACAGGGACAAAAGATTAGTATGCTTAGATTTGCAGATGGCATAGCAGTATTAGCATCTAGCATGGATGAGTTAGAGATAGCTTTAAATAAAATGGATGCTGTACTGAAAAAACAGTACTGTATGAAATAAAGGGAAGAAAAAATAGGAAAAGAGCGAATATAAATTTAGGAGACGAAAAATTAGAATAAGTGGCCGATCGATCAGGACGGAAGGATTAGCAGGGATATAAAGTAGAAGATAGCGCAGGATTGAGTCATCTATATATATAAAATCGTTAGTCCCGCTAAAACTCGAGAACGGATGGACCAATTCGGGTTAATTTTGGTCTAGAATTATTTGTGGAAGTCCAGAGAAGGTTTAAAAGGTGAAATAATATGAAATTAGTCAAATTGGTGGATCCATTCTCGAGTTTTAGCGAGACTAACGAACAGCAATTCACTTATATATATATATAGATGGACTCCTTTTGTTTGTTTTAAGTTTATTTTATACAAAAGTTTAGGTCTTTTATTTATCGATTGAAGAAATACGAAGTCTGCTGGGTCAGCTAGTCTTCAATAAAAAGAAGTCACTTCTATGCTCACCAACGGTTAATTTAGAAATTCGAAAACGGTTGTTTACGCAACGCTGTAGGGGTGCGAAACAGGGATAGTGGGCGCGGCGGAAAAGAAAACGTTGGAAGCGTTCGAAATGTGGTGTTGTAGGCGAATGATAAGGATACCGTGGATAGAGAAGGTTAGAAATGAAGAGGTATTAAAAAAAAAATAGGCGAGATAGGTTAGAAGGACACCTTTCCAAGCATGAAGGTCTAGTCAGAGACATATTAGAGAATGAAACGGGAGTTAGGAGGGGTAGAAGTAGAGGTAGAGTAGATTAGATTACTGTTCGCAAATAGTTAAGGATGTGGGTTGTTCCAGTTTTAGGGAAATGTGAAGATTAGCTCAGGATAGGAAAGAGTGGAGATGTGTGTCCAACCAGTTTTCGGACTGATGACCTTATGATGATGATAATAATGTAGAATCGGTGAACTACGCGTGTGTATATGTGTTGGTACCTCGAAGTGCGTACGTGATTGCCGCGGGGTTTTTACCCGATCGATATTATCACGTGTAAGGGTTCGGCGAGTTCAAGAGCAGAGTCGGGGTGTGATCGGTCGGGAAGGAAGATGTTTTTACTTTTGTATGCCATTTGTTTAATCGTTTTCATTAATATCATTTTGTTTTGTTTTAATTCTTCCATAAAACCTTTTATATTACCATCTGTATTTGTTTTTACAATAAATACCTACAATAATGTGGTCGATTTCAAGCCTTAACTACTCAATCGATCATCATGAAATTTTATAGGGGTACCCTATGTGGTACCTTTTATCTAGAAAAAAATTCTGTTCCCAAGCCGCGAACCGCGTAGATGAGCGGACGACTCGCGATTGTCGACTTTTCAGACTTCGCAGAGAGACTATGCACAACACAAATTCGGGCGGTTTTAGTGATCTAGAATATTTATTTTGAAGCAGTATGTTCGGAGAAACCCCCCTTCCACTCTCTAGTTAACATAAATACCTATTTATATTATTTGATATATTTGTTAAACCATCACTTCAATTGATGTGCAATAAAATATTTTACTTGAAGCTAATTGTCGTTTATTATCCAAATATGTAATGCAACATGTATTAGCTTCATTAATTTTTAAGTCGATTCAATTATTCAATGCCTATTAAATAAACTGCATACCTTTTTCGGCATTGAGTCCTTTCTCTACATTCCACGTTTTATTTAGTGTGCTAGCTTTATCGTTAATATATTCACTTGTCCATGTATCGGATTCATCCTTTACATCGTCTTTGTTTAAAATTGTAGAATGGCTTCCTTGCTCTAAATTAACTTTCTTCAGAAAATCCATAAACTATATCAATACTTTCATTACTTTGTATTTTTTCTAAGTATGTTTGTCATTACCTGTGCATAATCTTGATCCCCTTCATCTTTATTAAATATATGTTTAAATGCATCAGCATTGTATACATCTTTATTTATTACTTCCGTTTCGGAAATACTATAGGCATTATCTGAACTAGATATATCGTTTTGCTCTCTTTTCGAAATTTCAGCCCAAATTAGACCGTGATCCAATTCCAACGTATTATGTGGTCTCTAAAAAAATTAACTTATTATTAAAACCTAACGAGCAACGGATACTTTGTATCTGATAATTGCAATATTGACATCACTATGTTTAATTATAATTACGAGAAATTTTATAAAATAATCTTCTTAGAATTAAAAGTAAACCGACATTGGAAGTGGGATGAACTTATATTTATTAAAACCAATGTATGAGTGATCAATATTAGATAAAATACGATAACTCTGATAACAATTAGGGAGGAAGTANAAACGAAAATTTTATCATGCGTCGGCGTTTTGAACGCTGGATTTTATTGTCTATCGGCCGCGGTCCAGTCGCGCTCTCAGCGCCTTCTCTAAGCTTTCCAGGGCTATCGAATCAATTTCGAGCTGGTTTGAATTATTTTATTTAAAAATTTAACGAAGTTGTCCATGTCCCTAAGTACTGAAAATTCATGTATTGTAAGTGCTAAGACTAATGAAGCCTTTGGTCAAAAAGAGTTCTGATATCCTTATATTTTTATTGCAAATTGAGTTCAACTTTGCGCTGTTATAACAAATTCATATTTTTTTTTTTTTGAAAAGAAGCGCCTTTCTGAGTACTTGCAAATCAGGGCCGGCCTTAACCATTTAGGCGTCCTTGGCAAGTCATGTCTTTGGCGCCGTTTTAGGTACACTTATTTCATTACAGAAGTGATGCCGTTATTTTAAGCTCATTCGCTGTACCTACGGGGACTTCCCCTACTACAAAATGTAAAGAGATTTTTGAACTAGACTAAATGGGCATACTACTGGATAAGTCTATAAAAGTTAATACGCTGAATCTAGTTTTCCTTTCGATCGATAAAAATAGGTATTCAAATTGAGTGGTTAAGTTGAGCAACCGCCCCGGTCGAATCGCAAAACGAAAGTGATGACGTGATGAGTATAAAACGAAATATTTTCTACCAGACCGACAACAGAAACAAAGATGAGATATCTTACGATGCAACAACCAAAATTTAGTGGATTTGTGAAAGAATGGCTTCCGTTTTGGAGTTTTTTTAAAAAAGAGTGTTCGCAATGAAGGTAATTTCCAATTGCTAAGACAGTGCTCAATTGCATGAATTGATATTTAGTTATCCTCCTATTTCTGAAAATCATGATGCGTTTTGGAAAGTCTGGGCGTAATTACCGATAAATGTGCCACCATTCTGTATCCGTTTGTGGAATCATCTTTAGCGGAAGAAGTTTTAAGGGCGTGGCAATGTAGTGGGCACCTCGAAAATTTGACAAGAAATGGAAGTGAGGAAACAAAAGAACATCTGAAAAAACTACTGAAAAAGGATTGAAGTTGAATGTCAAGCACAGATTGAAATTGCACTCATAGGATTTAGCTCTGCAGAAGACGGTCAGACAGCTGTGGGCGATAAAGCTAATAAGGTAAAAGGTAAAGCAGAAGCATCACCGTCCTTTTCAGCAATTGCGAACAGGCTGCTTACATATAATAAAGACAATAAGGTGAAGCTAATCTGTATATTTTGTAAACGCGAAGAGCATAATAGCGTGAATTCTTTTAAAGCGCGGAAATTAGATTTAAATATGCGTCGTACAATCGTGAAAATAGAAAATTGCTGTTTTAAATGTTTACGTCGTAATCATATCTTAAGAGATTAAAAAGCGAAATTGATTGTAGTTGGTGTGATAAAAGTTATGTCCTTTTGATGTACGGCTATATGGAAAACAAAGAAAATGGTAATAATGCATAAAATTTGTCAGTAGAGGATAACGGTAAACGTTTTAAAAGTGAATAGTACAACGCCGATAAGGCCCGTTTTCAATGTATTATCCGAAAAGTTTAGAAGTAAGGCCAAATATGATTAAATAAATACGGTCTTCTATAAATCGTTGTCATGAGTATGAGGTGGGCATGTTGGCTGATATACTAAGACGTTTTTACAAATAATCGTAAATAGAGAGCATCGAGATTTTTTAAGCTTTCTATGGATATTTGACGGTAGAATAGTAGTTTTACGACATGTAAGATTGCAAGGCAATGCAAGATTTGTATTTAAAGAAAAACATTAATTGGACTATTAAAGCATTGAATAAACTCAATAAGGGATTTTGCGCTGACAATTGTACAAGTGTAGGTGCCGACCAGCTTCACGATTTCATACACGAAGCGACGACTGTTTTGTTGACTGGAGGTTTCGAGTTATGCGGCTGGGAATACGCGAAGGATAATTTAGATAATCCAACGACCAAGGTATTCGGTATTTCATGGGATAAAAAAACTATATATGCTTAGTTTAATTTACGAAAATTTATTTGCTGAAAACATCGATAGTTACGAAATGCGTTATACTATAATTTATGATCCAATTGGATTGTTGTATACTGCTCCGTCACCTCCTGTAAGCTCGGCACTTATTTCTGTTACACCCTATATTGACTAGAGTAAAAGTCCTGGGATATGCATGAGCAACAATTTTAGCCACATCATACGAAGTTGTAGGCGAGATAGGTTGGTAGGACACCTTCTCAGGCATGAGGGTCTACTCAGAGACATATTAGAGGCAGAAACAGGAGTTAGGAGGGGTAGAGGTAGACCTAGATTAGATTACGGTTCTCAAATAGTTAAGGATGTGGGTTGTTCTAGTTTTAGGGAAATGCGAAGTTTAGCTCAGGATAGGAAAAAGTGGAGGTACGTGTCCAACCAGTCTTAGGACTGACGACCTTATGTTGATGATGGTATGAAGTTATGGGTTTTGCAGGGTGTGTCTGAAGCCAGTTATTATTAGTTGGAACATTGTAAAAATTTTTAAATAACCCAAAAACTCCTGTCTGGAGGTTGCATGTTATGGTTTGTATGTGGTGGAAATGTAATTAGCACTATTCCAGACCATTTAGGGAAGTCAATCGCTTCAATGCTTATGGTTATCCATAAGCAGCAGTACTTTCTTTTTTTGCGATAGTTTAACATGTTTAATAAAGTGGTGTAATTATTCTATAATTTTTTCCAAATTTGACCATCCACTAGCATATGCGCCATTCCCAACGTACATCTAGAAGCACCTTTGAGCATATCCCCATTAAAATGTACTCGTGCAAATGTCATAGCAGATGGAAGTGAGTTTCCCAATGCATCAATATAGCAATTACCTTAGGTGTGTGAAGAGTGGTTATGCCACATTCATCAATTAAAAAGTGAGGACACATTGTGTTAATAACTCTGAAAAAACTTGACATTCGTAGAGCTATTTCCTTATACCGCTGTATGAAATTATAATGTCAAGTTTTTCCTGCTTGAGCTTCTTTTTTCCAAGTGTCAGGAAATTTGATCAGATTAACCTTTGCAAAGTTATACGCCAGTTTTCTAGTTTCATTTCTTGAGGAACTTTACAACATTTACACATGGTTTGTCAGTTATTTTTGTATTTGAAATATTTTACAGGGTTATTTTTGCGAATATGATTTTGCAAAGTCGTCCCTCAACACATTGTATGCTTTGCAATAGCAGCAGCAGATACATTTTCATTTACGACGGTATTAACTACATTGGTTAGAACATAAACGGATACTTTTGAGCGTTTATTTTCTTCCTTACTTCTTGGCTGATAGTGATTTTGCCGGGTACCGCTCACTGACGTCTTAAACAACATTAAATACAGTTTGTGAAGTACTTTGTGCCGAAAGAGGTCGTAGGTACAAAACGTAACCATTATGAAATAAAATTGCAAAATATTAATATAAGTATACTGATGCCACGTTACTTCTAAAGACTATATTTTTATAATAAAAAAGTCATAAAATATTGACTTTAGTCAAGAAAAATTGTCAAGTAAACTACAATAAATCTGCATGGCCACATAAACAGTACAGAGCCTAAAACTGGCGGTTATAACTCGGGAAGAAAGCGGAAATTATCTGATACAATATCTAACACTGTTGTCAATATTACATATATTTTTTACTATATCCTGCTTAGTTTAGCTTTAAAGTGAGGTAACCCTATATACAAGATAGTTCAGGGAACAAGACTCTCCTCTAAACTGTACTAACCATCATTTCAAGGAATGACCTTCATCAGAAGAAGTTTTAGTGAGGAGTACACTCACTTAAAATAGCAAAGGCATACTGCTCGTTTTATAGATAATCAAACCAAAAGAAAATAAATTAAAATCAATGAATTCTAGGATGCATTATCATGAGGTCTTCAGCCTGGAGATTGGTTGAGCATACATCTCTACTTGTTCCTATCTTGAATCAATCTTTGCATTTCTCAAAAATTCAAGTAAATTACATCTTGTAACTATTTACAATAATTAACTTATACTTATTTAAATCAATGTACATCAAAATCATGACAGTTAATACCTCATCATGAGCAGTTTGTAATAAAATGATATTGTATGGTAAATTTTTAATGCTTTTATCATTTCAGGTAATTGGAATGTCAACTGGGTCTATCAAAAATAATAGATTATTTGTCTGGCAATTTATCACTTACATCATCTGTCACTTGTGAATATTCATCTGCCCATATATTATCACTTAATTGGTCTTTTACTTTTGATGCAGGTATGGGGGGTACAGTTAACCGCTGAGATTCAATTTCTTGCATTTCCTTCATTAAATCTACAATAATCAGTGAAACCCTGTGCCATTAATTGGAAATTACACATACCGCTCATTCTGTAAGACTGAGGTAATGCCCGAGTTTCTTGTAGAAATTCTTGTACAAGATTATCAGTTTGGTTATGATTGATAACAACAGAGCTGTGGGCTTCAGAAAATGTATGATCTTTTGTAAAATGTCCAGCAAATTTCATAAGGGCATTGTCATCACCACAATCCCCTTCTGCTAATTTTCTCCAAGCCATTTTTTGATTGTTTACCACTAATATAATAAAATTGTTTGATGAAACTGTAACAAATTGAATTTTGAACATATACAGAGAATTTTAACAGGAATCAAAGAAACAATAGAATAATAATATTTTAATGTATTTAAAAAATTGACAATCATTTGTTTACTTCAACCATATTTAATTAAAAAAAACTTGCTTCATTGCAAATATAACCAGACTTGATATACATACTTATTTAATAAATACCACACAATAACATTCCGCGGTACGGACACTAACATACAATATTTCTTATCTGCTTATTCAAAACACCACATAAAGAGATATATAATCTCTCACCTCGTCTATGATCCCTGACAGAATATTAATCACTGAACATTATTCTAGGCTGAACATGCACTGAACACCATCTAAAGTAAAAACTTTCCAACTTATCTATAGGCATCGAGCACGTACCATCGACGTTTACTAATAGACATGCCTTAGCGGTCAGAATTGTGGGACAACAAAAGAAAGAGATGGAATGAAGTATCGGATAATGTCCATCTCTCTCACGATAGTGTGTAAGCGTGTCATGAAAGAGATAGTATTAGTCCGAAACCGTACGCCATCTCCCTCACTTTTTGAGTCAAGAAATTATTACAACGACACGGCTAAGGCATGTCCATTAATATATGCTATGGCACGTACGGACATGGACCATTAGTCTGTGGCAATGTGCGGACCATAGACATCTATTAATGGACGTACCTTAGCCGTATCTTGTTGTAATAATTTCTTGTCTCGAAAAGTGAGGGAGATGGCGTACGGTTTCGGACTAATGCTATCTCTTTCATGACACGCTTACGCACTATCGTAAGAGAGATGGATATTGTCCGAAACTTCATTCTATCTTTTTCTTTTGTTGTACCACAATTATGACCGCTAAGGCATGTCCATTACCCTTTGTATATCTATTATCTATGGCTAAGGCATACTCATTAGTAAACGTCGATGGGCGGACTGACTGAATTTTCTTTGCTTCTCTTGTTACTGACCGAGAATGTGGTTACTAACCGGCCTGACGAATGTTGATCGTGGTTGAGTGCCATAACCACTACAAAAATCAATTTATTCACTGTGTGAGATGTCTTTGAATGCTCATAGATATGTCTTACCTGTGATGATGTTTATAGATCATGTTCATGTTTCAATGAATGTGACAGTGAATATTCCGGTGTTTTTATGAAAAATATAGCATATTTTGTAAAATAATTAAGTTTTGTAGTGTAGGTAATTGCATTATTTATATTAATGTAGTACTGGCACCATGAATTAAATTATTAATCTGTTTTACACTCGCATTACTACTTGCAATTGCTACCATCAATACCAACACGGTAAGTGCCGTACTAAACAATAGTGTTTTGGCGAATAGCTTTCTTATGAACAAGTTTTTATTGTATTGTAAATTATCTTATCTAGAAAGGAATTTGTTTTATTTATTAAGTTGTAACTTTTTCAAAATCTTAAATGTAAATTAGTATAAAGAAAAATGGCCGCCTAGTATCTAGAAATATAATTAAAGTGGTATTTATCAAATAACACTTTTATATGTCAGAATTTGTTCTTTCTTTGCAGGTACTTATATTCATTGCTTTATCAAAGAAAATGTCAACTGCTGGCTCAAGTGGTTCTGGAAGAGGTAGAGGTGGCTCTCATGTAGGAGAGCAATCAAAAGAAACTAAGGACTCCAAACCAAATCCAAAAATGTCTAAAGCATTGGGAACATCGGCAAAACGTATACAGAAGGAGTTGGCTGAAATTACTCTTGATCCTCCCCCAAATTGCAGTGCTGGTCCTAAAGGAGAAAACTTTTATGAATGGGTTTCTACCATTTTAGGACCACCTGGTTCAGTTTATGAGGGGGGTGTTTTTTTCCTTGATATACACTTTTCACCAGAATATCCCTTTAAACCACCCAAAGTCACATTTCGTACAAGGATTTATCATTGCAATATTAACAGTCAAGGAGTTATTTGTTTGGATATTTTAAAAGACAATTGGAGCCCAGCTTTGACTATTTCAAAAGTACTTTTATCCATTTGTTCTTTATTAACGGACTGTAATCCTGGTAAGTATGTATGAGTATGTAAAGTATTTATTCATTTGTATATATTTTGAAAGTAATTGAAAGAATTTAAAGCTGAGTTATGCCAACTTTTGGTAATCTATTCTATTAAAATAGTGCCAACTTCAAGTCACATCTGAATATTGTGGATTTTTTAAAATTAAAGCAGGTTATTTAAATAATTCTGAATTGACTGGTGCAAGTTAAATTATATGAGTTTTGAAGATATTCAATTCTAAATATAGAGCTTTTGAAACTCATATTTTAAACTGCAGAATACAAGTACCAGAAAGTTTACTCACATACATACATAAAAGAAACTTTTCCTACGATTGTTAAAAAACTAAATGGGAAAAAATTTTAATTTATGATTGCAACACAGTTTCTGAAGTTAGTTAATAAATGATAAAAAATATATCGATATATAAACGCCATGCAATCACTCTTGCCTGGAGACATGTCTTCAACACATCACTACTAAGGAGCTAATCAGAAAACGTCAACTCTAAGCATTTGTTTTTATCACTTTCTACCCTTTTAAGATTTTTAATTTTAAGTTTTTTTGAGAACTGGTGAGTTCGTAGATCAATCTAAATAAATTTTTTGTCGTAAAAATTTGTAATAGCAATCAGAGTATAGCACTATGTAAAGTAGGTTCTAGGGTGTAAAATATCAAAAATAACAGCACAATGACCTCTACTTTTTCCCGAAACATTAAATTAGCAAAGTTATGATTTAAATTAAGAATTACCTAAGTAGAAAGAGGAGACTGTGGTAATATTAATTAAAAAATTAAAAGGAAGGCTTAAGTGAACGAAAGACGTGTTCGCTCAAACAAAGTTTTTTCTGGTAATTAGGGGTGTCTTCCTTTTAATTTTTTAAGAATTACCTTTTCTTCAGAAGATTTTCACGCTTTTCTCAGTAAAAATGCTAAGACTGAAATAATTCATATTTTATTTTAATGTTTTTGTAATCCTAAACATATTTCATTGGAACAAAAGGAAAAGAACGAGACAAAAATTCAAATTGCAATGCTTAAATACTGTTAAAAG